CAATCAGATGGAATTTATTGAAATCTTTTACAAATTCATATATTGATATGAATGCTGCTGTCCAAACTGTGAATTTTTTCAAGAGGGTGAAAAATTTATGGATAAATTGTAAATGCTTGGCAAAGACGATCTCGTAAGCGACATTTCAGTCATTGATGAAGCCAACATTGTTTTGAGTTTTATCAGCAGAAATTTACATTTAAAATCGTAAGTAAAGGACAAGTGAAGTGTATGCATGAATGTAATATATCAAAGTCAATTTATGCGAGTGTGTGATGCGATTTATGTCAATATGGCATATGGTAAGCAGATTGATGCTTCTAAAATTGTTGTTGCCGAAGGACTTTTAACTATGATTTCTTTAGTGCTTGGGGAATCGTGGCCGTTATATGGCAGCAAAATCCTACATTCCTGCAATGGACAAAAAATCTGTAGCCATAAGGCGCCATACTACTATTTACTTTATCATAAACAAATCTTTGGGGCTTTTCAGTTTATGATCATTGATCATTCAATCATTGGACAGTTATACTACATATTGTTTAAGATTTGAGAAAACTAACATTGATTACACGAGAAGCTGTTTACTATAACCTGTGATTTTAAGTCTTCTGATCCATGAAGCTTTTTATTTTGACAATTTGACTGGAATGGTATTAAATCTGAGTATTTCACATGCATGAAATGTTGTCTCATGTCACATATTGTCCCCTTTTCTAACTGAACACCTCATGTAGAGATGTAAAGGTGTGTTAATCTACGGCTCATACCAAATTGTTTGCCATAAATTCCGAAGGGCTATTGATGTATGAAAAGCATTTCCTATAAAGTAAAAATGTCTTTCTATGTATGCAGATAAACCTTGAAATTTGGCAAAACAGCAAAGTATTTTTCATGATCACTAGGTAATTTTTCTGATGATCATTATAATTTCTAAACTAAATTATTTCAGGTTTACATTTAAACGAGCTTTGATCATATGAAAAGATATTTATCATAACCAGTAAGCATGACACATGAACCAATTTTAACATTCATGTAATTATATAATTAAAGACATGTTGGTCAAATTCTATTTGTATTTGCAAGTACAATGCTACTAGTGATTGCTATATAACACTCCTTGCATATACTTACAGAAGATAATAGTCTAGTGAAAGCCTAATAAACATGGCATTAAGCTGTCTTTAACTGCAAATTTTCACTCTGATAATTTTTGCTTAATCTTTTGCAGAAAAAAATTTTGAGTTTTTTCTCAAAAAGTGAATTTGCTGGCACTGATGTGCAGATGGGTAAAGGGTTACAATAAACTTGCATGGTTTGAAGTCTGAGCTTTTCTATATCTATGAACAATTCCTTGTAGTACCAAATTTCTAACTTAACTCATTACATAGAGGTTTGAATGGGGGTCTCTAGGGGGGTCTATGCCTGACAACTTGGTAGAAATTTTTAAAGACTATATCTGTTTTTGAATAGCATTATTGTAAAATAAATTTTACGTTCCTAGACATGCTAATGAGCCATATATTTGGCATGATAATGAGCCTAAATATTTGGCAAAACATTCAAGTATTGTTCACTTCATTTTTTTTTGAAAAAAACGTATGCAAAATGTGTTGTTTTTACGCAAAAACGATGCCCACAAAATACATTTTGTATTGCTCTAAAACGCTGAAAATGGCATTTTCAAGGCTCTGAAATACAAAATTTGAGAATGCCTCAGACCCCCCCAGGTGCCGAGCGCCTCCGACTTTTTATGACTGATGTTTGAAAAATCCTTGATCCGCCCCTGGATGATGGTGTGTAAAAGTTTGCTTTATGCTAACAGTTTTATTAATGCCATCTGGTGTTTCTATAAATGAATTGTTTATTATAGTAAACAGGTTAGTACATCAAAACCAAGATAAAAACTGCTTTGTTCAATAATGTGCCAAATTATGCTCCTACCTTGAAATTTTGCTCAAGAAAAGCTTTTGATGACATGCAAAAATTAATGGCAAAGAACTTTTTATGCCTTATGAAGAATTACAATATTATTTAAAAGAATAAGAATAGCAATCTAGTAAAAGAAGCGACATCTGTCTTCAACATGAGACTTTTCCAATAATGTATAGTTTATTTGTACAAAATACTATTTTAGATAAACTTGATTTTTAAGACTTTCACTGATATTTTTACCAAAAGACAAAAAGAAAAATTCAAAGGCATAATATAAAATTCAAAAGTTTGTCAAATTGTTTGAACCTAAAAAAAATTAGTATAGATAACTGTAATTTTTAAGGACACAAGAGAAAAGTAGTGCAAGAAGGTTAGCATTTTTGAGAATTGATATGTTCTTCTTGACACGCATTACACAAGGCCGTAATATTATAAATAATGACTGTACAATAACAATTATACAACATGCTAAATATCTTCACATACATTATAATTATTTAAACAGGTTTGCCTTCATGCAGCAATAAGAAAAGTGCTATGTCAGAGAAACCAATGCACTTCAATTCAAGAAATCGTATTTTCAATGAGAAATTAACGTAGTTCTGTTCAGTAGTAGATCCATGGTTGTCAATGACAATCCAGTTTCTAATATCTTGGCTCAAAACAGAACCAGAAACATGATTAGAGAATTTCTGAATTTCGTTCTTTTGCTCTCCTAGTTCAAGATATTTTCTTCATAAGCTCTCAATAATTTTATCAGAATATTACACTACCTTATTAGACACCCAGAATCAATCCTACAAAAAAAAAACTAGTTTTGACAACCAAAATCCGCCATTACCGCCATGATTTTGACCACGCAAAGTCTTATAGAACTCAATGCATCCAAAGCTTCCTGGTAAGCCTGCCTGAACAGCGGATTGTTAGGAAACTTCATTTAGAAATGATTGTAAAACTGCAAAATCTGCATTTTATGTCGTATCCTTTATGAAGTATTCTTGAAATACGCAATCAAAATGGCATTGATCGATTGCAAAAGACGTACATCAAATTATTGAAGTTTCAATGGTGAAAATACTCAAAATCAGCGGGTCTTTGAAGGTGGAAACAAGTGAATTATCACTTTCTATGATATATTCTACTTATCCATCGTGATTAAATGTAGTGCCCGATCGGAGGCAACGAAAATCATTTTCTAAGAGACTTTTTGTGCTACAGAATACGGCCTACTTTAAACTTTTTCCTATTTGTTGTTTTTAAACGGTCTTTTTCTTTTTCCAGCAAACATAATAAAAATACTTCAAAATCCATTTGTTATGTTTCATTACATACAAAAGACTTGCATGTTTTATCATTGTTTAAACCATTTAAATTTTTTTGTTCTTGGTTGCGTACTGCCCGGTCTACGTACTGCTCCATGGATCAGAATTTGTTTATGGTATTACACGATATTAATGAAATAAAATTATTTATCCATGGCCATATTGAAAGTTATATGTTGGGCAGTTATATTTATAATGTAAATGCGCATTTTGTACGTATATGTATGTATGGTTGGATCGTTTTGTTTCTTTAACAGTTCAATGATGTGTGACGCACAACCTATGCGTTCTGTTGTGCGGGATGCTGGATCACGATTGAAGACACGATGGGACTGAATTTAATTCGAATATACTTTGACAAAGATATTTACAATGTCGCGACTTTTGACGAAAAACGTTGGTTTGTTACCACGAGTACTAATATCTAAAATGCGTATCCAATACGTTTCTTCAAGACTTCAACTCAAAGAAAAAAAATCAATTTGGAAAAAATCAATTTGAAAAATTGATACTTCCGTAACAACCCATCATGCATTATATGTCATATACATCACGGGTGTATTTCATTAAGGCACACCTACACTCTAAAAGATTTGGGTGTGTGGACACCCAGACACCCACGGGTACCTAAGCCACAGATGGTATTGTTTATTTAACTAAGGGGCCAATAAAATGGAACAATTTCAGCCAGGGCTGAGTTTCAACCCGGTTGGTCTGGCTAAAACTTTGTGTGATTACAAGTATATGGTCAATTTTAGCCCGATCTATTACAAAAGAAATTTCGGAAGAAATTTACGAAGCTTGTCCGAGGCATGATCGCCAGTTGTCGTTAATTTTAACACCGTGCGAGCTCTAAGAACATAGTGCGAAAAATTTGAAGAAAGCTCTTTTTCTTGTAATAAAAATTAATGCCCAACATAAAGTTTTGAAATAGACCAGAAAAATTGTAAAATTGAATTTATTGTAACGTTTCGTAACGCAATAAATTCAGTTTTACAATTTTTCTGGTCTATTTCTATGGCTCTAATCAAAACTTTATGTTGGGCATTAATTTTTATTACACGAATTCGATTTCCGCTCGGCAGGTCTCTCGCTACTTTTTTAAATAAAGCTCTTTTTCTTCACTTTACAATTTGGGTCACTTCAATTGTTGTCATTTCAATTCTACAATATGGCAATGCTTATAGGTGCTTAAAGAGGCGGCATAATTTGTTATTATGTACGTATTTGTCAGCAAAAAAAGAGGACAGTGGCACAGAAAAATGAAACACAGACAACTAGACAACTTTGTCGAAAGATTTTATCATCGTGGATAGAAGCCTCAATTTTCTTGTCGTCATCATAGGTAATAGGTACGCAATTACGTATGTGTATATATTTCTAGCTGTGGTTTCAGCCCGGGCTGAAACGATTAAATGATAGATTTTTCAATCAGGGCTGAGTTTTAGCCCGGGCTAAAATATCATCCCCAGTAGCTCAAACCGGGCTGAAATTGCTCCAAGTAATCGGCCCCTAAATCATGAGAGTTCAAGAAATTTTATCAAAATTCTTTTTGCGTTATATAATCTTATTAATTGGAATACATAATAAGGTGTTGTTATTGAGTATGCCTTCTTGTACAGTTTGACGTAACGCGTTATTGACATTGCCATCATTTTAATGATTTTTGTTTTGGCTTTTATGACCAAATGATGTAAAATGTTTTATTTTCATAAACCAATTAAACAAATGTTTACTTACCAATATTTTCAACATCTTTAGCAGCTCTGGGTTTTATACCTTCTCTCCACCTAGGCCATACTGTATCAAAATATTGATCAGCCCATTCTATAATAAGAAATTTAAAATTAGAATTCACACAGCCCATACTGATTGAAACAACTACTTTGTAACGACAGAGTTTTAAGGAAAAATTCACATATTAAAAACAAATAAAAAAGGCATGATGTAATTCTTGCTCTTTTAATTTAAAAAAATCAAACTACGTCAAAGATTGTGGCAATTTCTCCTTTGTGCGTCAGCATGCACAAAGCAGTTGTGCGTCTGTAGGTTTTTTTGGGGGACTGTATATTATTAATTTATACGCGCAATCGATACACAATTCTAAATTTTACTTTAAATTTTACTCTAAATTTTAGTTTAACTTTTTATCCAACTTACACATTCATAAACTGAAAAAACCTTTCATGGAAAAGGTACTTGGACTTCCAATGGATCATCTGACATTAAGTTTTCCAAAACTAGAAGATATAGGGTTAAAATATGGGAGATGTTGTTCAAGCTTACAAACTTCCCTGAAATTTGGTTAAGTCGTGCACGAACACTAGGCATCCAAATTTCGTATTATTTTGCGTTTTCCCCTCGTCAATTATTCATATTTGGATTAATTTAAGATCAAATTTACGTATAGATGAAAAGGATTATAAATCAGAGGCATTTAAAAACGAAAAATTCAAAATAAATCACAATTTGAAAGCTAAGCGTTTGCGTACGCATCATCCATTTTCCCTAAAACTTTGTTAGCTTGAACAACATCAGCCATGTTTTAATCCTATGTCTGTTCATTGCTTTTTGGCTGCTTCATTTTTTGTGCGCAAGCAATTTCAAAAAGTGCTTCTCGGTAAAACAGTCCTCATTTTAAAAATTGTTACTTTTTTGCGAATATTTTACTATAAACCATACATTAGTAGTTCAAATACCTATTTTCATGAAAAGTTTCGCAAATCTTGCGCGTTAAAAACTCTAGTGACGTTTTCCAAACTGTTCAGTGTTTTTGATACAACCTGTCCCTGTGTTATTGAAAAGTCAAAGCGTGTAATTAAATGTCATATGTGCTCTAATGATGAGCAAATGGTGTATAAAGCTGAGAAATGACTTCTGAATTACGACCAGGACTACCTATACAGCTTTTCTTTTATATCTAGTATATTATTGTTAGGTATTACAGTCTTATTGATCATGCGAGACGGAAACAAAACACTCAGAAGGTGAGTTTTACTAGAAGACACAATATCAGAGGATATATTTTTTACTGATGTAAGCAGAAGAAGTGAAAGCCAATCCTTGTAAAACAGTTAGGAAGACAAAAGAAAGTCTTACAAATAATTAACGTCTTATCAATCTCACTTTCTTGATTTTTACTGAGAAAAGTCTATCGGAGAAAAGTGGTTTTTTTTTGTACAGACCAGCCTCCTATAGCCCATATTGGTTCATAAATGCTTGATATTTTGATCAATAATTTATTACATGAAATGTATTTATCTCTCTATAAAAAGGTACGAAAAAACTGCAAAAATTTCGATTAAACCTGTTTATTGACAGTTTAACTTAATAAGAGAGTTGTTTAGCTAGAGTATTCCGAGAGGTTTAGACATTTCTCTTTTTGTCTTAAAAGGATGTGAAAACGACAATAATCATTCAAGCTACCGATATGGTGGAACTGATATATTTATTATCCGAAAAGATATTTTTTGTCCTTAACATCGGAAAATAATTTATTGCAGATGGAAAAAAGGAAAACATTAACTTTACGTTTGTAATGACGTAAGTTGCAAAAAAACCTGCTGCAGATATTTAGTGAATTTAATGTGGCTGATGTAAAGGAAGATGCTTTAATACTTTTTGTTCTGAGACTGAAAAGAATCTCAAAATGCGTTCGAAGAATATTTAGCTAAGTGACTGTTTTAAGACGGTGATTTTGAAATTTTGACGTAAATTTTATAGCTATGAAGCCTTGACAGGCCTTTTATTGTTCCAGTTAATTTTTTTGGCTATAAAGCATTTAAAAACTTGCTGGGGACGCTGGGCAAACATTTTGAAGTTGTATAGAATTTAATAGACACAAACCGCTTGTTTTTGCTTTGAATTCATAAATTTTAGAAATTCCATTTTCATCGTAGTTGGGAAATGGTTGGGTTTTAAGATTGAAATCTTTAATATATCCATCTGTCAGGTAATGCATTCTGTCGGTTGGGTCGTCGTTTTTGCCAGGTAATCTCATTGCTCCAGCTAAAATTGTAGACGTTTTTGCATTAGAGAATTCGTATCTCGAAAAATTTCCCACTATTATTTATGTGCAATAGTAGCACTAAAACAATGCTATAGTTTCCAGTACTCTAGTCAAAATTATTTAACCTTAACCGCTTTCATTTATTTTTCAAACAAAGTTCATTTGGTTCAGTAATTGTGGCAGATCCGATACAACGTTAATTGGCAGAATTCTGTGCATATTACCAATTCGATAAAAGACTGATAAAAGTAAAGCAACATGCATGATATATGATTTAAAATATTTAAGAAATTAAAGATATTTACTGTGTTCACACAGTCTTATACAAACCAAGGTGACCTTTGAGAGAGCTTGTGAGTAGATCTGTGCATGCCCAATGCTAAAATTTGAGGGTTGCAGCTGTTCGAGAGTTCTCAGAATTTCACAAACGTCTTTGAGGTTTGCATAAGCCAGTGAAAACACGAAAAACTTGTTTTATTTCTTTTATAACATAACAATAATGAAAAAAAAATTTAAAACAAGCGTTTTAATTTTTCCTCTAAAATGTATTCATGATTGATTTGCAAATTTTTTTTGATTGATTGATTCTTTGATTGATTGATTGATTGATTGATGATTGAGTGATAGATAGATAGATTGATTGAATAATTTATTGATTGATTTGATTGGTTGAGCTCAAACCTGTTTTCACAGTCTAATGCAAACACAACTATAGACCAATCACTACAAGCGTTTTATTGTTTTTATGCTATAAAACAAAATAGAATATGCTATACATACATAAAATGTGTTTATTGCACTGATTATAAACAACAGACTTCATACCTTCAGCAAATATACCAGAAGCAAGGTCAGAGTTTGATTCATCATAGGTGAACACTCGTCCACCAATTCTTTCTGTTTGCTCTAATATCAAGATATTTAATCCAGCTTTCTTCAACTCATAAGCAGCAGAAATCCCTGTCATGCCAGCACCAACAATTATCACATCATATTCTTCTTTACTTCCTTTTTCTTTGGCCGCCTGAAGCTGCAGGAAACACTGTACATTAGGGTCAGGCTGGTCGTCGCCATACTCTTCATAAGCAGCGTGCAATCCATTCAGTCGAATGCATTCCAAAAAATTTTTCAGATAGTCACTTTGCTGAATTCGTCCGCTTTGCTCATCTTTGTTTTCCTCTTTCATTCTTTGTATAAACGTTTTCACATTCTTTAACAAATTCTTATTCTTTTCAAGAAATGATGCTGCCATGCTTAACAAATTTAACTGTAAATATAAAGTAATTAACATATAGATAACATTTAACCATTATCTACACAGTTAAAAAAGTGGCCATAAGCTGCCGGGTCGAGTTTTTTCTATTTGTCTTGTATCATAAAATCAAAAAATCAATGGTTCGACACCACTGATATGTATATTACACTGGATAACGCACCATGTATAAAATAAAGTACGAAAATTGAATAATTTCAAATTACGTTTTTTGAATAATAATTTCAAATTACGTCTTTATTATATCATTGAAGAAACAAAACAAATTGACTTAGACAACTAATCAGAAAGACATTTTTATGAACAATAGTTAGTTGAAAACAGTATCATCTAACTCTACGAGATGTACGTCATCAAAATATGCGAAAGTACCTCTCTAACTTGCATTAAGCAAAGAAAAGTTTTGAACCAGTTCCTGTGTGAACAACTTCAATATTCATGAATATATTGAACATATGAATACCTTTGTTTGTACTTTTTTGTAATTTAAGTATGCATCTTCTAAAAATGCCTCGCACAACTGAAATTGTCCCCGTCACCTTCAACTCTAAAATTTCAATACGACATGCTATCTTATTTTTCAGTCGTTACAAAGCCAAGAAAACAGAGCTTTAGAGTTAAAGCTCTATACCGCTTTTCCTCTACATCTCATGAAAATCTTGCCTCAAACAGAATTTTTTAAAAGGAATAAAAACGCAAAAACTGTGATTTTGTAATACAAAAGTATAGTAAAGTGGGACCGATACCCCTCATGGAGCCAATAACTAATGATCGAACTTCCGGCTTCAATTTTCACAAGAGATGCGTTATCAAGTCTAATATACATATCACTGTTCGACACCCATTTTTGTTGGATGTCGGATCTTTGTTGATGTTCACATATTTCAATACTTCATGTAAACTGAACAAAAATACAAAGATGGCGGCGATGTTGTATAAATGTAAAATGGCTTTTAAATTGTGCATACGAAAGGAAAATCATGCATCAAAAGCAATAACGTTAATATATCTACAATATTTAGGAAAAAAATCATACCAAATATGGGAAACAAAAACAGAGAGGCCGATCTTTATTAAGTCGCGTGATATTTTAGTTGCCCCAAATTATCCTACGGATATCAATAGTTAACCACAAGTACCCCGTATTGAGAGGAAAATTGAAAATTGGATTTCATAAAAAGTTGAGATAACGCTGGCGGTGGCCATTTGCATTGCATATCGCTGTCGATAGATGATATCATGTTTTAATTTTAGCAAATCATTGTTCGAAAACGTGCCGGTATCGTTATCCACTATATGTGCGAATACAGTCAGTACTAAATGTGCTTTACACTAAGACGCCCACTGCATGAATCTGCACGTATTTGTTGTTGACCTTCACTAAAAGTTAAGCGATTAAGAGATTGGTGAATGATCCATCAACTGCTTGTGATAAAATATTGTCTTGGCGAAGGGTAATATTCACGAAACAAAACGTATACAAGAAATTGATGATAGTATTTTTTCTTTGCTGCCCGCGACTTACGCTCAATTTAGCGTCTTGTTATTATGTAAATTATGTAAATCTGTATAACGTATAGCGACAACACTTTGGCATGTGGTAAAACGCGGACTGGACTGGACTATTAAATCACTGAATGGACTAATAAAACGCGGACTGGTCTCGATTTGTAAAACGCAGGAGTGGATTAGTAAAACGTAGGTCTTTTTCAGAACACGTTTTTCCATTTCCAATTTTTCAATATACTGTTCAAAAAATGTATCGTATCAAATTGGGTCCCTACCTAATCTGGGCAGCTAGCGTGAACACGGATTTACATGAAAATACACCGACGTAATCCTTGGCAAAAATTGAGGCTGGTCGTTTTGATCGTAAACTTTCCTGTGCAATCTGGTTGTGACCACAAGATTGTCGGGCGGGTTTTGTATATTGCGGTGTTTGGGATGTTCAGAAAACCAGAAATTCCCATTTTGTGAAAGAGTAAGCTTAATTAAAAAGCATAGACGTCTAATGATCACATAATAACAGATTGGACAATCTCACAAGCAATTTTTGCATAACTTTAAAATTATAAATGGAAAGGAATAAACTGCAAAGTTATTGTCATGAAATGAAAATATTCATGTATGTATTGTACCTGTAATTCTCAAATACATGCTCCAAAATGCGAAAGTTCTGGATTTCTGATATGACTTTTTGATGACTTTGCCGGAATTTTCGCAAATTGCTTCAAACTCGTGACTGTTAATGTGCAAGATGTCTTCTATCTTTATTCTTAGGCCCCGCTTATACTATAACGGATTGCTATCGTACCAGGTTGAATATTCTTTGTATTAAAAGGCAGTGAAATTGCTCAACGTCAGAAACACAATCATATAGACTAAACCTATCAGCTTAATAAGCTTTTACTCCAACAGTTAACCCTCTAAAGCAAATGAAGATGTCGTGATGAGCGAATCCGGTATAGTGTAAACGCAGCCTGAGTCTTTCAATGATGATCCTACTACAAGATTATAAGCTACTATTTTACTTTAACCTAGCTAACTTGTTCATTACTCTACACTATCGTACTAATTAATCCCTTGTTACAGATGTCGTCTATTAATGCATGCCTCTTCAGGAAAGGACTGCATCATGTTGAGAACAATGTTGTATATGCCTTCAGATTCTTTTTTATCAAGTGATAACAGAAATGCTTCGAATCTAAGACGCTCCTGGGCTTCATGATCTATTATATTGCTTCCCAGATAAAATACTATTAACGGTTCTGCTGAAATGAACCCTGACTCTATGAAGATGTCCGGTTTGATGAATACATACACGTTAACTTTTAAATCAAACAATACTAGTCATTAGATAATACTTTTGTATGATATTTGTGTTTATATGAGGCAATACGTTAAGTCCTCCATCTTTGAAAACTTTAAATATGGCAGACAAAAAGCACATACAAGGCATGAAATTCTCCAAAAACGAATTACTAGCCAGTTGTAGAAAACTTGTTCCTTCCATCTTATATGTTGTAGTTTTGAATACAAGCTTTTATCAAATACTTAAACAGTCTGTTCCAATTGCAATTCATCCAGAATTCTTAAACCCGCTTTTTATACTTCATGAAGTGTACAATATTCCATAGGCCGGGCATTCATAGTCGGAAGATACCCAATTTTCGAAGCCGTTGGTATGCTACACTGTCTTAACATCGTGTTAAATCCTGTCCAACCAGGCCAAGGCTCTTCACCATTTTCACTGAAAATTTTGATCAACAAATTTATTAGATCTAACTTTTGCACTATGGCACTTTTTCTGTTTTGGATAAGAGGCTCTTTGATTCTACATCAGCTTCAGAGTGATAAAAATTCGGTGTTTTCTTTAAGCCAATAGAGTATGGGGCTATGTCAGTGGATGGTAATTCTATAGTTCTTAACTTCTTCTTGATCGTTGATTTTCCACATGGACGTTCATTAGCAAACATAATATGAGGAAATGCTTTCTGAATGATAATCCCATTGTTACATGTGTTTGGCGATAGAATACCTCTTGAAAATCAATAATGTCAAACACAAGACAGATATGTTTGCCAGGAATGAACTGCTTGGGAACAACATTTGATGTATTTATTGTCATTTGAGCTAACGCTGAGTCATATGCCATTGTTAAGGGTAAAGAAATGCAATGCCCTAGTTTGTGTAAAATGTTTATCACTCCAGAGGAACCTGTTATATGCCTCACTGTTATAGCTAGAGACAATGCCTTTGGTGCTTGGATCTTCCCTTGGCTATAAGCATTTATCATGTCTTGGCAAATGGAGAAAATCTGGACGGCTTCTTTCTCTCGAACATAGAGATAATTGTAAGCAGAGACTCATCTGAAAATCCCAACTTTCATGCAATATATATTGAAAAATACTGGTAAATTAATTTCTTAACACTTTTATCCGACAACAGTGGCAACAGGGGGGTCAAGTCTCGTACCCAGAGCCCTGTACAGATAGATTTGGGATACGTATTGTTCTGTGTATTCTGCATGATGATTGGGTAAATGCTGTCACGTGGGTCTTTCGCCAAAAATTTTTGTTCCAAGAACGTCATAGAGAACTATAGTTTACATAGAGTTAAATTACAAAAAGTTCGGTGTTATTATACCAATCGAGGCAATGAAAGATATGAAACGCACACGGTCCCTGATGACAAACACAATATTGAAAAGCGTCAGAAGTGGCTCTGTGCATATAAAGGAAAAGATATCAATCCCACTCACTGTGCCAGATTTCATTCCAGTCGCGTATGTCAAAGTATTAGTCATGAACTTTTGATTTTGTAATGTACTTCTCATATATATTGGCGTATCTATTCGTACAATCCACACGAAATGCGTATACATCACTCAGCTTTTCTGGCATGCCATGTAAATTTTGTTCTAAGGCTACATTTTGAAATTAAAATTAAATTTTGTTTAATACAATGATTGATTACTTCTTTCAATTTTCTTTTTACTAAATAAGTCATTACATACATGCAAAGAACACAGGGTGATCCAAAAGGGACACTAAACAAATTACCAATGAACAGTTTGCAGTTGCACACATAGAATTTCATGTACAATGAGATGATTTCTATTGTGTCAGATGAAAGCTGGTGTTTCGTAGCTTGCTTCTTCATTAAACACTTTTTCGGTGATATTAGTTAAGATCAAGCAAATATAAAACAGGCATATGAAAAATATGAAAGTTACGAATGTTAAAATGGATATGAAAGGTGTTACTCAGGCAGAATAATGGCCCTGTTCTGTTTTTGAAATCCAACTCATGCCAGATTTTCCACTCTTGTTGAAGAGTGTTTAACCGGAGAATAAGTTAGTTGCCTAACAGATAATGTGGTAACCTACTCAGGGATGTTTTTACAATGTGCAATGTACAAAGAGCTGGTAGACCATCATACAGTTCATGACCTGATAGTAGAAAAACACTTATATTGTAAAGTAATAGAAAAAC